GCAACTAGCCTAACCCACACATGTAGCAACCAGCCTAACCCACACATGTAGCAACCAGCCTAACCCATACACGTAGCAACCAGCCTAACTCACACATGTAGCAACCAGCCTAACCCACACATGTAGCGACCAGCCTAACCCACACATGTAGCAACCAACCCATCCAACACATGTAGCAACCAGCCTAAACCACACATGTAGCAACAAGCCTAACTCACACATGTAGCAACAAACCTATCCCACACATGTAGCAACCAGCCTAACTCACACATGTAGCAACCAGCCTAACTCACACATGTAGCAACCAGCCTAACCCACACACGTAGCAACCAACAGAACCCACACATGTAGCAACCAGCCTAACCCACACATGTAGCAACCAGTCTAACCCACACATGTAGCAACCAGCCTAACCCATACATGTAGCAACCAGCCTAACCCATACACGTAGCAACCAGCCTAACTCACACATGTAGCAACCAGCCTAACCCACACATGTAGCGACCAGCCTAACCCACACATGTAGCAACCAACCCATCCAACACATGTAGCAACCAGCCTAAACCACACTTGTAGCAACCAGCCTAAACCACACATGTATCAACCAACAGAACCCACACATGTAGCAACCAGCCTAACCCACACATGTAGCAACCAGCCTAACCCACACATGTAGCAACCTGCCTAACTCACACATGTAGCAACCAGCCTAACCCACACATGTAGCAACCAGCCTAACCCACACATGTAGCAACCAGCCTAAACCACACATGTAGCAACCAGCCTAAACCACACATGTAGCAACCAGCCTAAACCACACATGTAGCAACCAGCCTAAACCAAAGATGTAGCAACCAGCCTAACCCACACATGTAGCAACCAGCCTAACCCACACATGTAGCAACCAGTCTAACCCACACATGTGACATGTAGCAACCAGCCTAAACCAAAGATGTAGCAACCAGCCTAACCCACACATGTAGCAACCAGCCTAACCCATACATGTAGCAACCAGCCTAACCCACACATGTAGCAACCAGCCTAACCCACACATGTAGCAACCAGTCTAAACACACAAGTAGCAACCAGCCTAAACCACACATGTAGCAACCAGCCTAAACACACAAGTAGCAACCAGTCTAATCCACACATGTAGCAACCAGCCTAACCCAGACATGTAGCAACCAGCCTAACCCACACATGTAGCAACCAGCCTAACCCACACTTGTAGCAACCAGCCTAACCCACACATGTAGCAACCAGCCTAACTCACACATGTAGCAACCAGCCTAACCCACACATGTAGCAACCAGCCTAACCCATACATGTAGCAACCAGCCTAACTCACACATGCAGCAACCAGCCTAACTCACACATGTAGCAACCAGCCTAACCCACACATGTAGCAACCAGCCTAACTCACACATGCAGCAACCAGCCTAAGTCACACATGTAGCAACCAGCTTAACCCACAAATTTGTGTTAATTACAGTGGCGCCACGAGAGGTCTGCGGACCGCATTGGGTGTTACCAAGGCAACAAAAATTTAAATATTAAAACAGAATAATTAGTTTTGCCAATTAAATTAATGAATTACCAAATTAAATTTCTTTAAACTGACAATCCTGACAATAGTTTATGTGGTGGAACGGGGAGCGCGGTGACATTATAACGTAAACTTCTATAAAAAGAGTTGTTTTAATAACTACCATAAATATTGTTACTATTAAATATATGCACAGATTAAAGCTGGAGGAATGTAGACAACAAATGCAAAATTTACGTTCCGAAGCAATAAATTCATGCTTTATATCAGTTTGGTCTTAGTTTGGTATAGTTCTGCAATATCGTGCAATTGAATTTGGATTAAATGAATTCAAAAAGAAATATAGGCCTACCCGTAAAGGGTAAAGAGCTTCTAGTGGATTCAAACGTTGAAAAAAGTCTCTTTATTCGCTATAGAATTCAAATTTCTATTCATAATTTTTTTTTTCGAATGATATATTACATATTTTAAAATGATTCTTAAAATGGTGAACTCCCAGTAGTGCGTTATTATTCCGGAATTGTATAGCAGTAAAAAAAAAACAGAAAACAAAAGCGTAATATGTTTCGGAATCCACCGAAAGTTTAGTAAACGATACTTTTTTGGCGCCATATTTTTTAAAGTACATAACGTTATTTTGCATGATAAATACTGTTTCACTAATCAGTTTGTATTGCTTATTATGTTTATGTGTCTCTAGATATATATTGCTGCTACTAAACTTTGTTATAATAATTTTTACTAGTTTTAACAGTATCTAGACCTGGATCTAGATCGAGCCCTAATTGACTGTCGCAAAACTTGTGAAAGTTTTTATTTTAGTGTTTCAAAAAAAATATTAAACTAGTTATTACACTTTACTTTATTATTCAAATTAAGATCTACTAATGTACTATTTATTTCTTTTTCCTGTGTTGATTAAACATAAAATTAAGTTAAAACATTAAATTAGTTCAATCGACTTTATTTATATTTCACTAGTCAAATAAACCATGGTTTACAGTAACTAATGTTTACAAAGTTCAACAATGATAACCATATCCCTTATAAATACAACATTGGCCAAAAAAAATAATTTCATGTCAACAAAAAAAAAATGGGAGGCTTCATGTCAATTAATTAGTGTTCATTGATTTTTATTCAATCATTGTAAACAGCACAAATCTTGTCGAAAATGATAAAGAAAATTAATCACAGGTAAAGTGTTATGTTTTGCTACTTCTCTGCACCACAAGGCTAGCATTAAGAAAATATATTCTAGATCTAGGTCTATCCATTTACAATATAGATCTATACATTTTGGTTCTTTAACTAAAATTACCTGAGCCGATGTTCCAATAGTGTCGATAGACGACAGCTTGAAAATCTGCAATAAAATATGCTGGGGTAAATTACTCCAACCATCAGCCATCTGTAAAACAAATTTATCAAAAAGCTTTTGATAAATGACTTATTTTTTTACTTTTAGTGTATCTAACACTTTTGAAATATCAGGCCTTTCACGAATTGAATGACAAATTGCGTGAATATCCGATTACAATAGACGCGAAACATTGCTGCGTAAAAAAATTATATCTTGTTAGAAGAGTTGGTTTTGTTGTCCAGATAAATGTGCAATTTTTTACCTTATAAGTCAACAAGTTGCACAAACTTCCTCTTATACCTAGTTTATAGTTGTTACTTACTCCTACAAAACATTGTAGAGAGGTTCGTTAACTTCCATATTATTTGTCCAGCAATCTTTTTACCCAGTATCGACCATTTTGTCCTGTATGACATTTTATCGTCCGTGTGTCTCTATAGTGCAAAACACTGTTTCATCTTCTAGCAATTATTACGTCAAAAGACTTATGCCTGTCACTGTTGTAAATATCACTGTTGTAACATCAACTTTGTACCTCTAATTGTATCTTTACAATTTCCAAACACTCTAGGTACAAAATTATCAACACACATGACCTTTTCTAGGTCTAATGAAAAACATAGCTCTGCAAATCGTCAATAACCACACGCCCATGGTGACCCGATTAAGATGCCCACTTAAAATAATAGATGTACCCTCCATTTGTCCACACGTCCCATTTAAAGAACCCCCACATCAATACCCTGTGTGGACTTTCAAAAATAGTATATAGTAGTATTTTTTCCATTTTTTTATTATGGACTAATTCAATCATGCACTTGTTTCTTAATTTCAAAAATGGAACGGCTTGGACTAGCGGTAGAGAGCTAGACTGCTCGAGTTCGGGTTTAAGTCAGTAGAATGTCCCTGAGTCCACTTAGCCCTGATGGGTACCTAACTCTCGTTAAGAAAACAAAGACGGCTGGGCATAGTGCTGACCACGATATCCCTTCATATGCAGAGGTCCTTCAAGCAAATAAACTCTACTTAATCTGTCCTGATGATGAATTTTCAAAATATCTAATTATTATTAAATATTAAAATAATCTGAATGATTTGTTTAAAAAAACATATTTTAAATTAAATTAACTTATGACGATTGTTATATTTAAATAAACCTTCGAAACCACAAAAAATGCTACAGAATATTACAACAATTAAACTATGAAAAGAAAAAGAAGAATAAAAAGTCATAGTTTATTTAGCTGCATGGAACATTTTCATAATAAAACCACAACGTGTTCATGTCCTATTACTGTTTAATGTAACTCTTATTTATTGCATATTATAAATAGAGGTGCTGTAACATAATTACCCTTTGAATGGGGTTAAACACGAGAGAACGGCCGTAGATGTATGTGTTTTTACATTGTTCATGCAGTTGGCACTATTTTTTAAATAAACAATAGGGTCTACTTTTTTTTATGATTGATAGAGTTGGACCATGATGCTGTTTGTCTGAATGCTTGTGAGTTAAAGCTCACATGTTTTTGTTTACTAGTTTTGTCACCTGAGCATCAATCAGTATTAAAGTAATACAGCTTAGTGTTGGTGACTTTTTGCTATGATCATCTCTTGTGCCTTTGATGCTGCTTTCAAAATGGAGATATATTTACATGGAACATTCTGTTCCTATGCTGTCACAAAGACCAAATTCATAACATTAACAAATGTTTATTTTAATGAAATTTTTGTCATGGTAGATGGTACATTTATGATCATAAAAATTTCTCATTTTGGCTGTGTAGTGTGTATAGTATAATCAAATGAAATCACTGTAGAAACTGTTGTTTACAAATTAAACATTTATAAAAGTGCAGGTTTTTTTTTTCTTTTCATTGATACATGTGGTTCAGCAAATATGTAGTCTTAATGTGTAAGTTCATTTTTTAATTAATAATTTAAATGTGGCAAAAGTCCTAAATTAAACTTTGTTAATATGTATTTCTAAAATCAATAATAATTCTACAAATTTAAAAACTTAATTTAGATTAAAATATTTTTTTTAAAATTAGCTATCAATTTTTAAAATGAACAAAGTCTGTCCTTTCATAATGTATTTTGCTAAGAGGATGGTCCCTTTCTCATAACATGCTTGAAAACAGCTAAAATTATAGAAAATACATTTCTATAAATAATTTTAATTTGAGTAATACAGCTAATAACATTGACGTAATGAAAAAAGTAGTTAAAACGTAATGAGTAACATATTTCTATTGTTATTTAAAAAGATAACTTTTCTTTTTAATTACTGAATATTTAATACAAATGAAAAAGAGCTATTTAAACAACTGATCAATGAATTAAAAACTGTTTAAAATACAACAATGTTTCTGTAGGCCTATTATTTGTTTTCAATAAATAAAATTACATATTTTGGTGTGTTTTTTTTTCCATACAAATAATTTAAAAGTAATCTTGCCCTGGTACAAGTAAATCAACATTCAGTAGCAAGCCACTATTCACAGACTCTTCTTTTAGTTTTTCTATCTCTTTGAGCACTTTAGAACCGATGGTTCGACTGTCGCGATACTTAAACTTGACATCCGTCAAACTGTTTGGTCTTTTTAATACTTCTCCAAATGCCCTCAAAAACTTAATCTGTGAAAACAAACGCGATAAAAATTTTAAAAAAAACTTAATCAGTAAAAACAAACAAAACGAAACATTTGTAATCAAAACGTATACATTTTTAAAATGTATAATATAAGCCAGTATCAGAACTAGAAAAAAAGGGCCACCCCGTAAACACATTTTAGGCCCACCCAAATACAAATATATAAATATAAATACAAATATATAAATATAAATATATATATATATATATATATATATATATATATATATATATATATATATATATATATATATATATATATATATATAAACATAAACACAAAACAATAACATAGGAACTCATTGCTGGCCTGTTCGGGTTTGGAAAAAAAAAGTTTCAATTAAAACAAATTACGACATAATGTCGTGTGTATTAGTGGTTTTTTTTTTTGTGAAAATCAGTTTTATTTTATCTATGCTATAAAACCTCTTAACCTCTATTCGGTCAAAAATATAAAAGAAGAAGCTTTGTATAAGTAATGGTTATGTTTATTTGTATGTCTTTTTGTATTTATATTATTAATTTTAAATACATTTCCTTTTTAAACAATGTCATTCTTAAGTATGTACTTTATAAAAAAATAATAATTAAGAGAAGTAAATGCTTTTTAATTTGTTTAGTAGAAATACATTAAATTGAGCTTATGAACACCCTTATTTGACTATTTAAATAAAGGAAAATAAGTCATGGAAGTGGTTTGAACGTTTGCTTATCTTTGATAAGTTTGATTGTAGGAGAAAGAGGACTCGGCTTTCACAGTGGTTTAAAAACAAATGGAAAAAGAATATACAAAAGCGTGGGATGGTGTCATTTGTACAAAACAACCATCTATTCAAAACTGCAAGAATTTTTTTAACTATGGTCCGCTTTGGGCCCCTAAATGGCGTGCCCCCTTGCATTGCGGGGTCTGGCGGCACTGTAGTTCCGCCCCTGATATAAGCAGCTAGGTAGTGTGTCAGTCCGTCATTGCTATAGATTCTGGAACCATAAAAGTAAATATCGTACCACGCACTACTTTTAAACTACACCACATTGTCTTTTTATTACCATTGGAGAAGGGTTTGTTTATATAACGACTAACATTTTTTGTATAATTGACACAGTTTTTACACTTTTCCATAACGTGAAGAAAATATTAAATAAACGCACATTGCTATATTATATTAAACTGATCAATTGCAATACTATTTTCGATTAGATTTCTTGAAAAGTGGGATACATTTTAATAACAGTATGGTCGAAAAAACTAATTAATTAAAATATTTTATAATTATGCCAGGGGGGGGGGGGGGTAATTCAAAAAGAAATTGAACTCACTCACTAATGTAAGTTAATTTTTTTAATAACTACCGCATTGATTATTTTATGTTAAGGTTCATAATTAAAACAGAAAAATATTAATCTAATTAGTCTAAAGTCTATCAAAATCACTATTTCTACAAGCTTTTATTTAACTCACTACCTCGTCAGTCTGTCTGTCTAGATCGAAACGCCCGAGCGAAATGGCAGGCACTTCTAACTGACAAATACGGTTCGTAATTGGTACGTGGGTCAAGACATGAAACAATGCATCATGACATTTATTTTGACTTAATTGATCGCCTGAGTAATTTTTATGAATTAATAAAAAATTTGACCAAATTAGTAGGCAGTCCTATCCAACTACTCCACACGTGTCATCACGTTCAATAATGGGATACATTTTTTTTGTTTTTTTTTTATGTTATTAAAACGGATGAAATTAGACTTCTAGAGAATGCCGTAAAGGCTCTCTCTGGACCAGGACGCCTAAGAAAGCGTTATGGTTTTTTTGCGTTTGTGTTTGCATTGTGTTTGTGTTTTTTGTGTTGTATTGTGTTGTGTTATGTTTGTGTTGTGGTTAGTGTCGTGTTTGTGTTGTGTCGTGTTCATGTTGTGTTTGTGTTGTGTTTATGTGTCGTGTTTGTGTTGTGTTGTGTTTGTGTTTTGTTTTGTTCTGTTCCCAAGTTGGTACATTTTAAAAAAGATTAACCGTGGCGGAGCACGGGTATGCAGCTAGTAACAATATGACTATGCAAGGCGTTTTTTAAGGTGGCATGGCAGCCATATCTAAATTATAAACTTTAAGTACAATAACTAAGAGAGCGATATAGCATAAACCCATATATACGGTAATTGGATGGTCAGTAGTGAAAAATAAAACAAATATAAAACAAATTTATAGCCACTAGCCAGAGAGGTTGACCCGAAGGGGTGCCAAAAGGGGTAGAAAAATTTAAAATATAAAAGCTCATTTTAAGCTTCAGTTTTGAATTGTGAACTGTCAAAGTTAAGAAATTTAACGGCTACAAGCCTTTACATTTTGTTTTAACTGTTTTCTACCTTGATTGGGTAACTATAAAACAAATACCCTTAGGAAACAGTGACCGGCAAACACCGCTTTCTAGCTTTTCCTGGATGGGGGCGCTTTATCGCCGACTAAAAATAAAATCGAAAGGATTTACACAGGATTGCTAAGTAGATAAACTTTATTGCTTATAAAATAAAAATTCAACTGCAACTTTGAGGGGGGTTGTAGACTGAGGTCTGAGGTGTAACGTCAATTTAGCGGGGAGGGGGGGGGGTAGCAGATGTGTGACGGAGGGTAGGGGGGAGATAATTTATTGATGACCCCTTAGGTTTATTTTTTTTCAGACATTAATATTTTTTTAATGGATAACGCATCTTAATGCGAGTTGAATTGGCGTCGAGTAAAGTTTTAGGGAACGAAAATCATACACCGTTATTATTAAATCTTTTCCGGACTGTCTCTCACACCCACGCACACACTGAATTATACACACACACACACATATATATATATATATATATATATATATATATATATATATATATATATGTGGATGTGTGTGGTTGTGTGTGCGTGGGGGGGGGGGGGGAGCGCCAAATTGAAATTTCGTCCCGGGCACAACATGCTTCTAAATGCACTGAAAATAAGAAAATAAAATGAGACTAGTAGTTAGACAGTTACGTTTGCTTCTGTTTTTATCATCATGGACATCGAAAACTTCCGTAAGCGTTGAAATGAAGCTAAATGTTTACAAAAATCTTCAGATAGTTCTTGCTCTCCAAAATGATTTTCTATATGAAGTTCTTCCAGTGTATGCTGGTACAGCGTTGCTATGTTTGCAATTTCAAACTGTAGAGAGACATTAATTTAAATGTGTATAGATCTTTTTCTCTCTCCATAAATAAAAAAATAAAATTAAATAAATGATTAAATAAATATGCGACTAAATAAATAAACCAACAAACATACAAATAAACAAACGAAATAACGAACGTGTAAAAAAGATTATTTAAGAAAAAATAAAGTGAGCATGATCAGGGGCCATTTGACATCGGGGGTCTGTAAAGTTTGTCCATCATGCTTACATGTTTGTTACGCCACTGCCCCAAGATTGAAATTTTCATTGAGCGTTTTTTTTTTTTGTCTCACAGTTAGCCTGAATGTTACGCTTTGTTATCAGGCAATGGAAATTGTAAAATAGAAAAAAAATTTAAAAAGTTTAACTATGAAAAAAAACAACCGGGAGTGATCTCCCCTAAACTTTCTCGAATATTCTATTATAACACTACGGGGGATGGCAACTCGGGATATAGACAATATTTTAAATTCAATTTTAATTACTTAAACTTTTTTAAATAGAATGGAATATCGTAAAAAAATAATTGCACACCAAGCGAACGCCAAATAATATGTGCATAATAGTGCGAAATATTATTAGTACTTTATAAATGCAAATGTATTTTTTGAGAAATCGGAAATAGCCTAAATTACTACTTCCGATCAACGGAAGCTACTCAAAATTTTAAAGAAGGCAGAGAATTAGATCTTTTACTTACATGTGAAATTTCATTTATCTATCTGCAATAATACTCAAGTTATAGGCTTTTGAAAAATTGAAAGTATAAAAAGTTACACTTTCGGTTATCGGAAATCGCTTAAAAGCTTATACGGATCTACAAATTAAATATAAGACTTATATATGAAATTTCATCAACCAAGCTGTAACTGTACATAAGTTATCTTGTTTACAGACACAGACACACACATACATACACACACACACGCACACACAAAGACATACGAACAGGATTGCAAAACTATGTTTTTCTGACTCAGTGAGGTGTAGAACGTTGAGATTTGCAAAAATCTCGATTTTTTTATTCACGATTACAATACTATTACGTTCCCGGTTAGTTTCAGACAAACAACAACGTTCACTACTTTTATTCCGTCTCAAATACATACATTCCAGCATAGCCCTCGTCCTACCCGCTGTCCACTATCCACTAAACCCCTGTATATTATATAATTATACATATATGTGTGTATGCATGTGTAAGTGTATAAGTGTGTACATTTGTGTGTATAATTGTATGAGTGTGTATATGTATGAGTGGTCATGTGTATCAGTGTGCATTTGTATGTTTGTGTGTGATTGTGTGTATGAGTGTGCGCATGAGTGTGTGTGTGTGTGTGTGTGTGTGTGTGTGTGTGTGTGTGTGTGTGTGTGCCTGTAAATATCTGCTCAGTGTGTGTCAATACTTACCTCATGTGAGAGAGGCGCTACTGCTGTTATGCTGATCAAGGGAATGCTTGGCGTCAATAGGACAACTTCTGACATACCATTCACATAAAAGGACACCACAAGATCAGGACATGATTTTTTTAGAGCCACCCATGCCGTGTCGCTAATGCTTGCTAATTTTATGAAAAGAATTATATATATATATATATATATATATATATATATATATATATATATATATATATATATATATATATATATATATATATATATATATATATATATATATATATATATATATATATATGTATATATATATATATATATATATGTATATATATATATATATGTATATGTATATATATATATATATATATATATATATATATATATATATATATATATATATATATATATATATATATATATATGTTACGGTCAAAGTCCAAAGTCGGCCAAAGCCCGCATTGGCCAATATCGCCTCATATAGACCGGTCAAAGTCTGAAACTTTACTTGACTTCGGCCTTTGGCCGGCCAGTCGGAATTAGAAGATCATCTGGCTAGGGACGACCGGCCAAAGCCCGAATTAGAAGATCATGAGCAGATTTTGAAAACAACAATACATAATCTTTCGACTCAGAACAGGCCATAACAGACTAAATCAACGCATGCATAAAAAACTAAAAATTGGGTGTGGCGAAATATGCCCTTGTGGCAAGGCCCCGGAAAATACTGAGCATGTCCTTCAGGAATGTTCTCTTTATAACCAGGCGCGAGTCAGACACTGGCCCCTGCTCACCCCACTCAGGGAAAAATTATATGGGGCACCTGCTGATCTGGAGACCACAGTCCGGTTCGTTCACGAAGTTGGATTTATTGTCTAAATCCTCCACCATATTCTCAATTAAGAACGAAGAAGAAGAAGATTATGAGCAGATTTTTTTGTTTAATACCGTAAGGATCATAAAAATTAAGTTTTTGTTGATATTATTTAGAATTACATAGCAGCTTGTTATTTTTACACTTGCAGCGATTTGTTGTGTACTTGGTTGTGCAATTGCAACAAATGTAGCCTTGGCCACCGGCCAGTAACTATGAAGATGCGATGGTTCGTTGTGATTTTTCCTTAGTGCCAACGGGCGACAATGAGAGCAGTTTTTCGTGAAAAATTGAAAACTCACTTCTAGCATATAGTTATTTTAGTACACCATGTTCCGTTCCTAGCTTGTAAAAAGCGCCCTCGACGCTCATGATAACTACAATGAAGCTTCGGGAAACACCGCGGCCTCTGTCAACATCTGGTATACAGATGCGAACATTATCTCCACTTCAGCTTGTTTAAAATTTTGTATCTGATTTTGTTAGCATCTTAGCACCTTGAGTTTGAAAGTTATTATGAGCTGCTGACCTGTTGTCCGTGATTTCTTGTTTTTTGTGACATAATCTGCAAGTAATGTTCCTTCCGTACCTTTCGTCTGCTTCATTGGCTATTCCGCAAATTGCATGGGCATCGTTGCCACAGGATCCACAATAATGGGCTGCACTACAATATTTTTCATTAACATACAGAATCTGTTGGTCTTATTATTGCCACGCAACTGGTCTGGACATTCCGCCACGGCAGCAGATGTGTTAGCTGAGGATGTCGTTGCATTTATGGCAACCTCCATTTCTTATTCAATGTTCTCAAAATCTTCCTCAGTAGCTAAATTATCGAGAGCCTCTCTTGGTAGATTTGAAGTGCTAAGTCCCACGTTTGCTTTGCATCCAAACAAGGTTTCATTTGGCGATTGTTGTATTCCTTAATACAAGTTAAGGTTTTTCTTAAATTGAATGAATTTGAGACTCCTAGCCCAATGAGCTGATTCATTTGTCTGCATCTATGTCATCATCATATTTTGAACATCTTGGTTAGTACGTTCTTATGAACCTTGGCTTTGGCTATGCCTTGCTTTTCCGTAAACTAGTTTAAGTTCAGGCCACATGTTCTTTAGTTCAGAAATACCTTGATTCACAAATTCTCTTCCATTAGGATTTGGATTATTTATTTTGGTAGCCATCTGGTATGTCTGTCTCTTGATCTGACGGTCATTTTGATCCACGTCGCATAGCATTTTGAATGCTATACAAACAAGAGCTGAACAATATGTTACTCAAATGCAACCCCACCCAGAATAATGAAAACGAGATCACAACTTAGTCTACATAGGACATTGGCCAGGACATCCAGGACAGTGCGCGCATTGGCCGGCCATTGTACAAAATACGCTCTCAGCGCTAAGTTCTTCGGACTTTGGCCAAAAGAGGGAGGGGTGCTTTTTTGTAATTCCACCACTGGTTATGCTCTATTTATAATGAACTTATTTTAGAATTAATATAAGACTTTCTGCTCAGTACTTTACCTTCTAGTTCTTCGACAGTGATAAACAACTGGGTGAAATTTGTCCCAAGACTGTTTGATAGGTTTTCTATCAATTGTTGGTTAATGTATCCTATGTCAAGCCTGTGTAAGTTCCTAAAATTCTGGACACAAAACACTTTATCAATTGAGAAATTATATTTAAATTGTACGAGGAGTGAACTAGCAAGCAAAAACTCATTAGCCAAGAAGATTTGATTTTGTCGGACAAGCTAGATGGTCACAATGTGATATTGTCAATATCTAAGCATGAAATAATTAGCCTTGCTTTATGCACTAGAGAGGGGAGATTCGTGTGTCTAATATTTAAAATCGTAAAATAAAAACCAATTCGACATTATTTCTGAAGATTACGGCAACATACTAATATACTAATCCAACCTTTAATAAGTTAGCAATATAAACATAAAGTGATATTTCAACGCCAAGGGTAGACAAAGGTACAGAATAGAGTCCAAGTAAAGACAGAACAGACAGACCCGACGGGTTCCGAACCTACCACTCCACACGGCACCAAATTGCCTCGCCTTCCATGCCTCAAGTCAGGCGTGTAACCGATTCTACCAATCAGCTCTACAAAAATAGAGCTTTCTTGGCAGACCACTATCATAGCCTGTGACACGGGAGACGCGGGCTGGCGTGACCTCTGAACCCTAAAGGGTCTGACCGCTAGCCTTATAAACACAACAAGGACTATTATTCGACCAGACAAGCGACACAAGTATAGGGACGATGATACAGACAAATAGTAGCTTCCTTGAATGGGTATAGTGTAGACATGGTAAGGGGTGGAAGCAGGCGATTTAGGGTTCAGAGGTCACGCCAGCCCGCGTCTCCCGTGTCACAGGCTATGATAGTGGTCTGCCAAGAAAGCTCTATTTTTGTAGAGCTGATCGGTAAAATCGGTTACACGTCTGACTTGAGGCATGGAAGGCGAGGCGATTTGGTGCCGTGTGGAGTGGTAGGTTCGGAACCCGTCGGGTCTGTCTGTTCTGTCTTTACTTGGACTATATTCTGTACCTTTGTCTACCCTTGGCGTTGAAATATCACTTTATGTTTATATTGCTATTTCAGTTACAACGCCTGCTTCCACCCCTTACCATGTCCTTTAATAAGTTTGAAGTTAATTTCCTATCTTAATGGGTTGAAAAGCTGGAGACTTGTGTTTACCTGATTCCTTAGTTAAATCAACATTAGCTACTTTAAATCTTTAAAAGAAAGAAACCTATTTTAAGGTTTTAGCCGAAAAGAAAACATATTGAGGTATAATAAAAACGTAAAATTACTTTATGGACATAAAAAATGAAATGACTTACTTTTAAGATGGTATTGAAATCATCAATAGGTCCGTCAATAAAGTTATAATTTAGAGTAATTATTTTCATTTTCTCCCCTGAAGATGTGCCTAGAATCTCCAAGAAACTTTTCACATACTTTTCTTCAATGTCTGTGCCTTCAAGGACAAATTTCTGTGGAACGATTATAAAAACAAACTCTTCATTGTGTATGATAGAAGCAATGGGCTAAGGAAACAATGAAGAGTTGTATAGCTAGAAACAAACACTTGTTAAGTTTAATGTGATTGATCATAAACTAGCTGAATTTTAAAAATGAACTCAGCTGTATTTTCAAATATATATATATATATATATATATATATATATATATATATATATATATATATATATATATATTTATATATATATATATATATATATATATATATATATATATATATATATATATATATATATATATATATATATATATATTTATATATTTATATATATATATATATATATATATATATATATATATATATATATATATATATATATATATATATATATATGGGTACTATTGGAGACGACACTTTAGGAAACAACTATATTAAGGTTAAGGGGGGAGTATCACTAAACATTTGAAAACAGCAGATAAAAGAAAGTCAACGTATGATGCAACCATCTTTTATAAAAAATCATACCAAAAATGTTTAATAAGTAATTTTTGGCTGCTGTTTTCCATCATTTAGATTTTAGGCCAATCCTGCTACAAATACTCTAGGAGATGCATAACATAGTAGCCTATCGTTGGATTTAGAAGATTTCCATTGTGACAAATTTTGAATGTTTTAGATTTTTTTTCAAAGAAAGACCCAACAAAAGGGACTTTGAAATTTACTTTTTTTAATAACTTTATTTTCAAATAGAAATAATTACATCAACATATAAAAATGTGTGTGTGCTTTGTATTTAACAAAGTTTAAACATTAACAAAAATTATCATTACATGATCAAAATGGTGGACATTTTTAAAAAAAAAAGATCAACATTTTAAGTGAAGATAATTAGAAATAAAGAAGTAAAAACATGTTTTTTTTTAACCATAATAGTAAAAGTCTTAATTGTTTCTACAGTTTTGTTGAGAATTTTTTTTACAATATAAACAGCGTGAGAAGTTAATAGAAAATATTAACAATGTGTAAATAAAAGGTAGAAAGCGAAAAATAGAGATACATAATAGATTCTAATTGGATACCAAATGGGTTGAGGGTGGTGTTGTCTTTTGTTTTTGTTTTGGAAAGAAAATTATTCCTCTTTAGGCCAAACTTAGCGGCGGATACAAGCATTGTTCTACTTACTACGTCATGAAAAGACATGTGACACTGCAGTGAGAAGTGTAATAGCTGTTCAAGGCCGTATTTTGACACGTATTTTGACACGTTCTATTTTGAAGCAAAGTATAAGGAAACAGTTCAAGGCCAGTTTTCACAATACTTAGATATGGCGCATTAAAACGTGTACACTATAAGTGAGTCTGCTATACACCTTAGAGAAACAAAATTGCAGATCAAGCTCAAATTTGGCATGCTTCAGTAGGGCAGTTTTGACACTTTTTAATGAAATAGTATTTTGTTTTCAATGAGGGCAAAGACCATACCGGTGCCGTGGGAAAAAGAACACATGAAAGATTTAAAGATTTCATTGACAGCTATGTCTGTAAATTTAAATCCGTCATACTTAATCTTATTTTGTAAATACCAGACTAGCGATCTAAAGACGGCCGTCGCAATCAGTTTGTCGTCGTCATATATTGCGACTCCAGTCTTGTTGATTTGTTAAATGTAATAGCTTTGTTTGCAATGATTGCTTGCTTTGTTTTTAACATGGTATTTAATGTTTGTTTTGCTAATTGAATTGTACTGCATTCTAAAAAATGTGTTTTTCTGTTTCGTGTATGTTTTGTTTGCAGGTCTGGCATGTAATTTTAATGTTTTTGCTTGACTTGGTGTTGCGTGAGATTGGGGTTGTGTTAAATATTAACCTATAGCTAATCTCTCTTTCTTTGCGTGTTATTTCCTTCTTATGTAAGTTTCTGAAGGTGTCGCTTATATATATTGTATTGTACTCTCTGGCCCATTTAATCCTATGGTATAGAGGAGTTGCTTGTTTCTCGACTAGGATGTCGTATATTTTTAAAATATTTTCTCCAATGATGTTGCTGCTTCCTTTAGATATTTTTAATATTTCTCTGTAGAAGTTCCCTCTATCATTCCCTCCATAATGTGGTGTTGTGATATTGACTATGAGGATATTCTTTCTTTTAAGCCCTATATATTATTGAGCCAATGGGTGGTTGTGTGGCTCTATCCTAATTCTGTCTAAGTGTTTTAACCTAAAGGCATTGATTTTTGTATGTATATCGTGTAGCCCTATACCGCCATTTAGCTTACTTTGTATCAAAGTTTTGTTTCTTATGTTTCTAGTTGTTTTTTAAAAGATAAATTCCCTAATTTGCTTGTTCGTTGTTTTTATGAATCTGTTCGGTATCGTAAAATTCGTTGCTATGAATATTATTTTAGGTATGACATATCTGTTTACTAAGGCGGCTCTGGCGAAGATCGTTGTGTTAATATTTTTGTAATTTTTAAGGCACGATTCTATTTTCTCGGTCAGCTTTAGCCAGGTAGCATTGTCTTTAATCTTGTTGTCGCCTGTATAGGTTATTCCGTAAATTTTTAGTTTGTCCACCACTGTGATGTCTGTATTGTAGTCGTCTTTGTCTGCCCATTGTACTGCTTCCATAACCTTCGATTTGTCCGTGTTGATCTTTCCGCCACTGGCTTTACCAAAGTCAATAAACCTTTCCATTACTGTCTTTATGGTCTTCTCAGATTGAAGTAGAAAAGTCATGTCATCGGCGTAGGCCAATATCTTTTTATCAGCCATGTTTGGTAGTTCAGTCCTTTTATAGTGATGTACTGTCTAAGGTTCTCTAAGAGGGGCTCTAAACTAAGGATGTAAATAATAATCATTAAAAAGTTTTAAAAACCCACGTTTTCTGATTGAACTAAAAAGTAGAAAATAAATGCTACATATCACAATAATGCAAGCGATCACTCTACTATAAGCGATGAAAAACGTGGGGCGCCGAAGTAAAAGTTTTTTATCGGTCATTGTTAATATAAGATGTAAAAGTTATATTACTATTGATTAGATAATACTATTGACTTTTATTAGGGAGCTTGTAGAGAGTCAACAGTATTAGAAACTGTAAGAAAATCACAGCGCCCCACGTTTTTCATCGCTTATAGTAGAGTGATCGCTTGCATTATTGTGATGTATAGCATTTATTTTCTACTTTTTAGTAAAATAGGGACGAGGTCAGTTTCAAAAATCCTATAAAACTCGTTTGTCAGGCCATCTGGACCAGGGGCTTTGTTTAATTTTAATCCATTGATTGCTTTGACTTTGTCTTCTTTAGTTATGGGAGTGCCTATTTTCTTTCGGTCTTCGTCGTCTGCCTTTATGATATGTTCTAAATATTTGCCTTGGGTGTCAGCATTGACCTCTTCTGATTCAAAGAGTTGTTGATAAAATGTAAAACTTTGTTTGATGTCTTCGGGGTCGGTTGTCACAGTGCCAAAGCTGGTGGTAATACTATGGATGTGTTTGTTGTTGGCATGCATTTGCTCAAGTATTATATTGTAGTGGGATGGTTCTTCACTCCCTAAAGTATCTATTTTACTGCGAATGAGAGCGCCTTTGTATTTATGTGCATGCAGTGTGTTTAGTTCTCTCTCTATTTCATCTATTTTGTCTCGAGTGCTATTGCAACTAATTAGTGTGTGTATTTGACTTTCTAAGTATTCTTCTTGTTGCTTCATGGCAATGTTGATTTCCCTAGCTATTTTAATAGTGAGTTTTGTTATTACATGTTTGAATTCTTCCCAGTGGTGTAATGCGTATGCTGTTGGAATTGTTTGTGTGTAGTGTGCGGCCGTGTCTTTTATCGCTGCAGTGTATCTGTCGTTTTCAAATAGAGTGTTGTTAAATTTCCAGTACGCCGTATTAATTTTTACATTGGATGTGGTATTTATCTGTACTAATGTTGCTTTATGGTCGGTGAATCGAAGTGTTTGGGCTATGTGTTTTATCTTGGTCACCTATGTGTCTTCATGTACGTATATCCTGTCTAGCCTTGATGAACTATGGTGTGTTGTACTAAAGTAGGTTGTTTCTGTATCATTTTTAGGTTTGTTTGTATGTGCGTCTTTTAAATTTTTGATGTATATTATGTTCTACAGTATATCAATTTGTTCTATGATCTTTGTATTCTGTGGTTATTGTTTTCTGTAGATTTCTGTAGAAATGTTTCTGTTCTTGTTTTTTTATTGGTGCGTATATGTTGATGATCGTGTATTCTGATGTGTTGTCTTTAATTGTGGCACTTGTAAATCTGCCCTGTGTGTCTGTTTTCATGTTTTCTAATTTGTATTTGTTGTTTGTGCAAAGTATGCTGGTTCCCCTACTGTGCTGCCCTGTACTATGTATTGATTGTTTAATCCCCAGTATGTTGCAAAATGTCTGTGCTTGTTCTATTGTGTTAAAATGTATCTCTTGTAATAGCAAAATGTCGATATTATGTTTATGAATGAAATGAATGAGAGCCGGGGTTTTACCGCCGGTTACCCTAATGTTTAAAGTTACTAATGTGTGTAGACCCATGGTTGGTTCTGTTAATTTTATTTGGCCTGTTGTGGTTGATCTTGCTGTATATCGAGTCCTTCAAATTGTTCATTGTCACTTTCCATCTCATTTTCATTATCTGACACATCCGATGAATTGTTTGTTGTGTTGAAAATATCTGGTTCCCCTGTTGGGAGGGGAACGTCCATTATTGCAAAATGTAAGCTGTCCTTACTTTCAGCGACGTACTCTAGCCTTACTGGCTCTTCCCTGTCGCTGTCTGGGAGTTCTCTATCTTCTGGTGATTGGACTTTTTCTACTGTAACCTTCAATTGTCTAACTTGATCTGTTCCTCTTTTGACTAGGTCGCTGTTAGATGGTTGGGATAGTTGTGTATTATTAAATATTGTAGGCGATTCTTCACCTTCCATAATTTGTATGGACCCCATTTGTTTGCTTCCTGTATCTCTTGGTGTACTCCTCTCTTCCTTATCACCAACACCATCTTCTCTTTTCCTCTTCAGACGCTGTTCTCTTCGTGCCGCGCTAGCGCTGATCTCCTTGCCATTTCTTTCTATCAGTTTGGTGATATCGTCTTCGTCCCAACTTTCCAGACATCTCTTGTCGTTTTGTAGTCGCTGTCTTTGAGCTGCCTTTTCTTGTTCCCCCCAAGGCTTTACTACATTATACTTCCCGTCTTTCTTTTGAATCCCGTCCATGAACCGAGCGTAAAGTTGGTTACACATGGTGGGGTAGTGCCTATCTGTTTTACAGTTGGGGCACAACATCCTTCTCTCTGAGAGATGGATCACTGCCACCTGTGCCGCCCCTTCAGCATCTTTAAATCTTATAAAGTGAGGTATTTTTCTTAGTCAATTTTGGGTTTAATTATGAATTTATAGTAGTTCCCTCGATCTTCGGTCTTGATGTTTGGTCCCCTCTTCACATAGGCCCTGAAGGGCTGTTTCCAGTTCAGCCTAACTAAAGTAAGGGGAGCGCATCTCAATGTACCTTTAACACAGTTCTTTTTGTCGACATGAGTGACGCTTACTCTAGTTAACCTCTGCGTCTTTTCATTGGTTAGTGTCTTTGGCTCGTAGAATTCAGTGAGCATGAGACTCGTAAATTTTCCTTGAACCCAGTGTAGCATACCAGACATTCACTTCTACATAATTGTATACCCTTTTGAACTCAGTCTCCTGGCAGCCTATTATTTTGGCAAATTGAGTTAGAAACTCGGCATTTGTAATCGTGTTCAGCCATCGGCCTTGAAGGATTGTAATTTCTACCGTATTTGGTTCAGGGAAGAAGACTTTGAATCCCGGTATACAGACGTCGAAGAACAAGTTATCCTCATCCATTCTTGTTTATGTATTTTGGTCCCACCAGGACCAAAATACAATCAACAAGTTTCAATTGTTTTTGTTTAGTATGAACATTTTCTTACAAAAATTTACTTTACTTAGAAATAAAAACGCGCATACTAAATTAAGATAACAAGGGTATCTCGATTCAATCACTTTCATTAAAATCCAAATTTTGAAATAAAAACAACAACACAAAATTGTCACAAATAACACATTAAAAATGGAAATATACGCAGCACTATTTACAGACACATGCTACGGCGGCCATTTTGACAAAAGGTTTAGAGACATAAATCAACAACTTTTTAAATGTTTTATTTGCTTATGAATGTAATCAAAGTGTAATCATCTAAAGTTACATCAATAACTACATCTGTTTCCGTATCAGTGTCTGTGTCTGTTTATGTATCTATACCAATATCTATATTCATATCTTTACCGATATCTTTTTCATCTTGGTTCTCAAGAGAATATTTATATCTTTACCGATAAATATTTCTCCTTCGATCTCAATTGTAATGTTGGACGGAGTTTCCTCCAACACATTTAAGTAAAACATGTGTTAAAATGTAATGCGCCTATCGTGATGTTGAAGAGAGACGTGACAATGATTCAACACTTGCCTCCAGATTTTTCTGCTGCTCCAGAAATGTGTTCACGGCCGTAACAAACGTTGTCATTTCGGTGTTTGTCGGGTAGTCCTGGTATAGTCCCTGCAGTTCAAACACTTTGAGGTTAGGTCTACTTCTGGACAATATCTCGAACACGGTCTTCAGTGTCTTCAGCATGTGGTTCATGCGAACGCTTCCGTTGCACTCAACTTTTAACTTTGTCACGTTTTTTGCACATTTATTTGTAAGTGCAATAACTCTCCGTGCTATATCAATAGATTAAGAATATGTATCCATATATATATATATATATATATATATATATATATATATATATATATATATATATATATATATATATATATTTATATATATATATATATATATATATATATATATATGTATATGTATATAACCATTTTATACAATTAAAATATAAAAAAATAAAATATCGCAATCAGCATCGAGTACGAGTATACAAGTCAGAGCAAGCATTAACATTACCCTCTCGCTTACTCTTACTCTTACCTTAATCATTAACATCACGACTGCCACTTCCCTTACACTATCGTTTTCATCCGGTTGTAGATGAATATCGCTTTTTAGTTAAAACAATACCTCTGGAACTTTCCCGTAATTTACCCGATCTAACTAGTGTGTGTCCTAATTTACAGCGTGACAAACAACCCGGATTATATATATATATATATATATATATATATATATATATATATATATATATATATATATATATATATATATATATATGCATATGTATATATATATATATATATATATATATATATATATATATATATATATATATATATATATATATATATATTATATATATATATATATATGTATATATATATATATATGTATATATATATATATTTATATTTATTTTTTTATATTTATATATATGTCTATGCATGTATATGCATATATATGCATATGTTTGTAAATGTATAAGAATATAAACACATACACGTATACTGCACGTACACATCATAAACATAAATGAGATATTTCATTATGATTCGTATATTGATTTGTAAAATAAATAAATAAACTTTTTAAAATCTCTACTTTTTTACTTTCATGTATATACGAAATATAGAGAAAGTCTTGTAATCGTGCAAAAAATATCCCTTAGTCGGAAAAACATAATTTTGCAATCTTGTCCGTATGTCTGTGTGTATATGTGTGTGTGTCTGTGTGTGTGTGTCAGTGTGTCTGTAAACACGATAACTTGAGTACCGTTACAGCTAGGTTGATGAAATTTTATATATAAGTATTGTATTAAAATCGTAGATCCGTCTCAAATTTTGAGCGATTTCCGATAAACGGAAGTGGTACTTTTTTTACTTTGAATTTTTCAAAAGCCTATTACTTGAGTAATATTTCAGATATATAAATGAAATTTCACATGTAAGTAAAAAATCTAATCCTATAACGTCTACCAAATTTTGAGTAATTTCCGTTGAACGGAAGTAGTAATTTACGCTAATTCTGATTTCTCGCAAAAGCGCAAAAAATGAATAAAGTACTAATAATATTCCGCACTATTATCCGTATTTTGTTTTGGCGTTCGCTTGGTGTGCAATTCTTTTTTCTACTAGATTCTATTCTATCTTTAAATGTTTATGTAATTAAAAATCATGTCTATATTCCGAGTTGCCATCCCACGTAGTGTTATTTAAGAATATTCGAGAAGGTTTAAGGGGGATTACTCCCGGTTTATTACGATCTATATCTCTAACCGTTTTTTTCCAGTTCTCTTTCATTCAGGATCAGTTTTATGGACCGCCACAACGAAGGCACTTGTGTTGCTGTGTTCCAGCAATGGCAAACCTTAAAGATAATAAAGACATTAAGCGACCTGCATTACCCACACATGTGTCACGTAGCAACCAGCCTAACCCACACATGTAGCAACCAGCCTAACCCACACATGTAGCAACCAGCCTAACCCACACATGTAGCAACCAGCCTAACCCACACATGTAGCAACCAGCCTAACCCACACATGTAGCAACCAGCCTAACCCACACATGTAGCAACCAGCCTAACCCACACATGTAGCAACCAGCCTAACCCACACATGTAGCAACCAGCCTAACCCACACATGTAGCAACCAGCCTAACCCACACATGTAGCAACCAGCCTAACCCACACATGTAGCAACCAGCCTAACCCACACATGTAGCAACCAGCCTAACCCACACATGTAGCAACCAGCCTAACCCACACATGTAGCAACCAGCCTAACCCACACATGTAGCAACCAACCTAACCCACACACGTAGCAACCAGCCTAACCCACACATGTAACAACCAGCCTAACCCACACAAGAAACATGTAGCAACCAGCCTAACCCACTCATGGAGCAACCAATCTAACCCACACATGTAGCAACCAGCCTAACTCACACATGTAGCAACCAGCCTAACCCACACATGTAGCAACCAGCCTAACCCATGCATGAAGCAACCAGCCTAACCCACGCATGTAGCAACCAGCCTAACCCACACATGTAGCAACCAGCCTAACCCACACATGTAGCAACCAGCCTAACCCATGCATGAAGCAACCAGCCTAACCCACACATGTAACAACCAACCTAACCAACAAAAATGCAACAAAATGCAAAAAAAAAAAAGAATAATTCTTTTTGCCATTGATAAAAATGAATTACTAAATACATTTTTCTGTTAAATTGACAATTCTGACAAGGGTTTATGTGGCGGTAAGGGAGGATGACATCAAAATGTAAACTTCTATAGAGACATTAGTTTTGATTCCCGGCTATAAATATTGTTACCATTAAATATGCACATCTTAAAGCTATCATCCGCTTTGGAAATGTAGACACCAAATGCAAAATTTACGTTTAGAAGCAATAAATTCATGCTTTATATCAGTTTGGTATAGTTCTGCAATGTCGTGAAAATGCATTTGGATTAAATGGATTGAAAAAAATTAGTATAGGCCTACCCGTAAAAGTTAAAGAGCTGCTAGCGGATTCAAACTATGTTGAAAAAAAATCTCTTTGGTCGCTAAAGAACTCATTTTTCTATTCATTAAAAATGTCTCCAATGATCCATTTTTTTTAAAACGATTCTCAAAATGGTGAACTCACGTTTGAGTGTAGTTTATCCGGAATTGTATAACAATAAAAAAACCCAGAAAAACAATGACTTAGGCTTAGTCTGTTCCGGAATCCACAGGAAGTTTAATAAACCATACTTTTTTGGCGCCATATTGTTTTCAGTACCTTACGTTATTTTGCATGATAAATATTGTTTCACTTATCATTTTTTATTGCTAATTATATTTAAGTGTCTCTTAATAATTATTGCTGCTACTAAATTTTGTTAGAGTAATTTTTTACTACTATTTACAATATATAGGCCTAGATCTAGATTTAGATCCGATTGACTGTCGCAAAATTTGTGCTAGTTTTTATTACAGTGTTTCTAAAATAATCATCAAAACTAATTATTACACTTGACTTTATTACTCAAATGTAGGTAAAACCTTAGTTTAGCCTCGGTTATTATTCCGGAATGGTATAGCAGTAAAAAAACAGTAAAACAATGGCAAAGTCTGTCAAATTGTTCCGGAATCCACCGGAAGTACTGTAAACCATACTTATTTGGAGTCATCTTTTATTTTTCATACAGAACGTATAAACATTTTATAGATTTATTTTATTTGCGTGTTAAATATTGCTTTAGTAATTATTTTGTATTGCTAGTTATTTTTAAGTATTTCAGCTAAATATTTTTGCTAATAAACATTGTTTAACAGAATTCGTACGCAGTGTGGATAAAGTCTTGAGTTTAGAAAAGTGAATTTCAGACTTTAAAAAGTCTGGACGAGTCTACACTGTGGTATGACGTTTTTCGCTGAAACGCAGAAGAAACCCGATTTCTCAGTTACTACGTTATTGAGGGAGGGAGTGAGGAGTGTTAGACCTGTCTTTTTGTTGTTGTTGTTGCGTGACTGACCGTGTAAATGTGTTTCAAGTATTTAAAATTGTTATTTAATGAAAGAATGATCGGCCATACAAATCTTAAGCTTTCTTTTACCCGCTATTGTTCCTTTGTCTGAGTTTGCACGTAGGTAGTCTTATAAAAATATGAGGGAAGCTGTAAGTGGCAGTCTACGTATAATTTAACTACCGGTATTTCGAATTCACTCTCCAAACTGTTTTTGAAATCTTTTACCAAAGCTGACGATTAGAGCCAGAATAACCCACCCCTCCTAGTAACTAAGGTCACTGATATCTGAACGTGTATGAGCTGACCGTGACCCCATGTAGGTAGTTGGGGTGTTTGGCTGGGGAGGGGTGAGGGAGAACAAAAGTTAGGGTAGAGTTCAATCTATGACGTATTAGACTGGGCTACTGTGACCTCACAGTGACCCCTCCACAGCCTCTTATTGTGTGTGTGAGTGTGGGGGGGGGGGGTATACCGGTAGTTTTTAATAGCAGACAAATAATGGTGTTTGGTTTCTTTTACAAAGAAGGGTACGAACACTGTATCTAGTCACTCGTACTATTTTGGTAATCATTTTTACTATTTTCGAAATCTATATTCTTTTACTTGGCCTAGCAGCTAGTTAGATCTAGATCTAATTAATTAAGGGTCGCAAATCCGCTGCCTGCCAAAAACATTTTTAAAAATATTACATTTGACTTTTTAAATTTATATTTATATATTTTTTTTTAATTTTAGATCTACTAATTTAAATCTACTATTATATTTATTCCTGTTTCCTTTTGTTTACTAAACTTATAAAATTAAAACATTAATTTACTACAATCGACTTTCACTTTATTTATATTTCCATGGTCGAATAAACCATGCTTTACCGTACTCTAGTTACCGAAACTCAACAAACATTACCCGATAATTTCCGCCGCTAAACTAAGGTTTTACCCAAATTTAGATCTATTAATTTAAATGTACTATTTATTTCTTTTTCCTGTGTTGATTAAATTAATTATATATTTAAGTTAAAACATTAAATTAGTACAATCGAATTTATTTATATTTCATTGTCAAATAAACCATGGCTTAATGTAACTTATGTTTGCGAAACTCAACAAACATAACCATAACTAAGCTTATAATTATTTTACATCCATTCGTTATGAATTAACATTGAAAAATGAATCTTTTTTAAGTCAACAATAAAGATGGGCGTCCCGTCAACTCAGTAAGTGCCCATTGATTTATTTATTCATTGTAAACAGCACAAATCGTGTTGGCAATACTAACGAAAACAAATCAAAGGTAAAGTGTTATGTTATGCTACTGCTCTACACCACAAGTCTAACATTAAGAACTTAAAACAATTTACTGTTTGTAGATTGTGGTTCTATAACTAACATTACCTGAGCTGAGGCTCCAATAGTGTTGAGGGACGATTGTTGGAATATTTGCAATAAAATATGCTGGGGTAGATTGCCCCAATCTTGCTCAGCCATCGTAGATTATACGAATCTATACATCAACTTATTATAGGACAGTTTATTTTTTTTCAATGCATCTAACACTTTCGAAATATCATGCCCTTCGCGAATTGAATGACAAATTACGTGAATATCCGATTTCAATAGACACGAAACATTGGTGCGCAAAACAGTTGTATCTTGCTAGAAGGGTTGGATTTGTTGTCCAGATAAATGTGTCACTTTTGACCTTCTAAGTAAACAAGTTGCACAAACTGGCCCATGGTGTCGGCTATTTACAGTCTAGTCTCTTGATTGGACGTCGTGTCACATCCATAGCGCATGGTATTTAGGGCATGTCTTTCACTATTCAGACATCGAGAATAACTGCCACAAATAAGAAGAAAATACAATCATGTATAAACTCATGCCTCAGAAAGATCCTTCAAATTCGGTGACCTTAAACCATCGGAAATAAAATACTTTAGCAATGGACAAATCAACTGCCATCTGAAGAATCGGTACTTAAGAGTAAATGGAAATTTATTGGCCACACACTCAGGACGCTTGCATTCAGAATAACAAGACAGGCCCTCACCTGCAATCCACATAGCAAAACGAAAGGAGGCAGACTTAGAAAGACCTGAGGATGTGACCTGGAAGATGACACCAAGAAGATTGGATACACCTGGGGCCAGTTGGAGAGACTAGCCCAGGATAGAGACTAGCCTAGGACAGAGACGCCTGGAAAGCTCTTGTAAGCGGCCTATGTATCTGGAGAGGCGATAGGAAAACCTAACTAACCAAACCTTTCACTATTTAGAATTTTCCCTTTAGTTGACACGCGACTTCCCCTTACACCTAGTTTATAGCTGTTACTTACTCCAACAAAATATTGTACACAGGTCCGTGAACTTCCATATGATTTGTCCAGCAATCTTTTTACCCTGTATTGACCATTTTGTCCTGTAGAAAATTTTATCGTCCCCTGTCTATATAGTGCAAAACACTGTCCGGTGAATCCATCTTCTAGCAACTATGACGTCAAAAGACTTTTACCTGTCCCTCTTGTAACTATCACCTTTGTACCTATAATTGTATCTTTACTATTTCCAAACACTCTAGGTACAAAATTATCAACACACAGGACCTACTCTAGGTCTAATTATAACATAGCTCTGCAACCCGTCAATAACCATACACTCCGCGCCAATGTAGTAGGGGTGTTCCGTTTTTAAAATATCAAATTTAAATAATATATTTTTACCCTCCGTCTGTCCACACGTCCCCTGTTAAAGTAGGGTGTCGCCTAAGATTTTAAACTTCATTTTTGATCAATGTGAGCGGGTGAATGGATTTTTTTTTGTATTATTTTATTTGTTGCGAATCTGGGAGTGCATGGTGGTCCAATGGGGAACGGCACGGAGTCCCCTTCCGTCCGAAGCGGTCACTATAAATTGACCGCTCGGAGTGATTTTCTTCCTTTTTTTGACCCGCGGCGAGATGTAGGTCGGGTCAGGTTTCTGCGTGGCGCACCGCACGCGTGGAGGTATTTGTTTTTTTATACTTTATCTTTATGTGATTTGTATGAATGCGACTGTCGATGTTTCTCGTTTTCTTTCATTTTCGTCTAAAACGAGATAGTGAGCATCGGCATGTCTGGTATGCACGTGGTGTGTTATTCTGTTATTTTGAATTAAAATGTATTTTTGGTGTTTTCTAAACCCGTGGCGTATGTTTCGGACCACGTGGTTTAGGCCAGTATGTTAAGGAGTGTTTCCTAAACTAGTGTGAATGCGTGTGTGCATTTACCTGATTGTTTTATGGTGTGTTATTGACTAGGATTGGCTTAGTCAATAGTTAGTTGTTTTAGACAGTAATTAGATTAGTATATTTTAGTTGCCTCGAGTTTTAGGTTGTTTAAAATTAATGTGTGTGCTGTTTCGTGCAACGTCGTATTGAGTATCGCTTGCTTTGTGTCTGCCTTCATTGGGGCCTTAGCGGAGTGTGTTAACTTTAATGTTATCAATATGGGTATTGTTTATGTAGACCAATGGCTTCGGGCTGCTCCTTGTGTAGGAAAGATTGGTTCTACTATGAATTTGTTTACACGTTATTTTTAAGTTGCTAGTTCTTCTTTAGACAGTGGTTAGTTGTTTTTGAGAATTGCTTTTAGAATTGTATAGTAAGGATTAGTTATACTCGAGGCTTTAGCTAGATAGTAGTAGTAGGTAGCATTTTGAACTTGTGTATATATTTATGTATATATCTGCCATTACCATGCATTTTTCTTATGTTTTCCTTTTCTTTTTCTCTTCCCCCCCCCCCCTTCCAGTGAGGTTGCTTGTGCAACTTGGCTGGGTGTTTTGTTATATATGAATTGTTTTGTTTGGTGTAAAAAGTTTGTTGTGTACGTATTGTGTTCTACGTAATGTATGTACGTAGTGGTTTTACGTAGTGTTTTGTTTGGTGTGGACTTTTGGATGTCGAGAATGGATGAAGGGAGGTTTCTGTGTGTCAGGGCCTGGACCATCCTAGACATCATAAGTCGGCGCAACACCAGCAAATGGTCAACCGTAATGTTTTGTTTGATGTAAAAAGTTTGTTTCGTTGGTTCTGTTTTGTGTCAGTTTTTTTATCTATTCTTTTTTTATAACTTTTGGTTCCATATTTATTATTTTGTTAAATAAATTTTATATTATTGTTAAAGCTTTTGTCTTATTTTAGTATTTTATTTAGACTAAGGTTAGGGTTTAACCACTGTGGGTTCTACCACGGTTGCACTGACCGGACAGATTAGTTAGTTAAGCCTAGAAGGGTAGATATTAGGTATCCCCCCTAGCAGGGCTTACAAATTGGTAGCACGAGTGGGGTCAGTGCTTTAGTCTAGTTAAATTTTTGTTTTTTACTAGGGCTAGTGTAGCTTAGTTAAATTTTTTTGTTTTTGATAGGCCCTTTATGGAACCATATGTGTTTAGTTTTTGTTTAGTGTAGGAGTTGTTTGTTGTTTAAACACCCAGTCAGGTTGGCGGAGAGACGTGCCTCGACGAGCCTTCAGTGTGCGTGGCTGGACAAGGCACGGTGTGTGGCACTGGACCTGGCGTGTGATGGAGATGGCGGCCTCGTGTGGTCTAGACTGGACAACGCACACGGGCGTGGCGCGGATCTGGTGTGTACGGCAGACAGGTGAACAACGAGAGGCCTATGACGTCAATTCCTTGACCCACAAAGAGGGCTACTGGACACCCGCCCCACAGGTGTGTCGAAGCGGAGGCACGATCATTGGGGGCGGGTAACAGTCGGAGAGCCAGTGGGGCAAGGCGGTTGCGTCACCACCTGGCCCAACCAAGCGGACGCTCCCCACCAACGAGAGGCCAGTGACGTCAATTCCTTGACCCACAAAGAGGGCTACTGGACACCCGCCCCACAGGTGTGTCGAAGCGGAGGCACGATCGTTGGGGGCGGGTAACAGTCGGAGAGCCAGTGGGTCAAGGCGGTTGCATCATCTCCGGACCAAACAAGCGGACGTTTTACCGGTGGTCTTACGCTGAGGCCAGAACCAGAACACGGTGTGTTGTGTAGTGGACCCAGGTGGACGGGATGGACAGGCAATGTGTACCATTAGTAGCGGGCGGGGCTAGCCTGACCCTCCCCCCTTGCCCTTCCGGATGAATGACCGACAGGACTAGTAGCGCGAATCAGCCTTCAGTGAAAGGAGCACTATCTTGGTGCCTTGAGTTTTTTTAGGGAACACAGAGACGCAAGATTAATGTTAATGGAAATTGTTTTTTTCTTGCATTGTAGGCTTGATGTAAGAGATGGGTGCATGTTTTATTTTAAGATTGTTATATGCATTTTTTTGTCTTACAGGGACTGTAAGATTTTTAAAAGGGGTGAATGTGAGCGGGTGAATGGATTTTTTTTGTATTATTTTATTTGTTGCGAATCTGGGAGTGCATGGTGGTCCAATGGGGAACGGCACGGAGTCCCCTTCCGTCCGAAGCGGTCACTATAAATTGACCGCTCGGAGTGATTTTCTTCCTTTTTTTGACCCGCGGCGAGATGTAGGTCGGGTCAGGTTTCTGCGTGGCGCACCGCACGCGTGGAGGTATTTGTTTTTTTATACTTTATCTTTATGTGATTTGTATGAATGCGACTGTCGATGTTTCTCGTTTTCTTTCATTTTCGTCTAAAACGAGATAGTGAGCATCGGCATGTCTGGTATGCACGTGGTGTGTTATTCTGTTATTTTGAATTAAAATGTATTTTTGGTGTTTTCTAAACCCGTGGCGTATGTTTCGGACCACGTGGTTTAGGTCAGTATGTTTAGGAGTGTTTCCTAAACTAGTGTGAATGCGTGTGTGCATTTACCTGATTGTTTTATGGTGTGTTATTGACTAGGATTGGCTTAGTCAATAGTTAGTTGTTTTAGACAGTAATTAGATTAGTATATTTTAGTTGCCTCGAGTTTTAGGTTGTTTAAAATTAATGTGTGTGCTGTTTCGTGCAACGTCGTATTGAGTATCGCTTGCTTTGTGTCTGCCTTCATTGGGGCCTTAGCGGAGTGTGTTAACTTTAATGTTATCAATATGGGTATTGTTTATGTAGACCAATGGCTTCGGGCTGCTCCTTGTGTAGGAAAGATTGGTTCTACTATGAATTTGTTTACACGTTATTTTTAAGTTGCTAGTTCTTCTTTAGACAGTGGTTAGTTGTTTTTGAGAATTGCTTTTAGAATTGTATAGTAAGGATTAGTTATACTCGAGGCTTTAGCTAGATAGTAGTAGTAGGTAGCATTTTGAACTTGTGTATATATTTATGTATATATCTGCCATTACCATGCATTTTTCTTATGTTTTCCTTTTCTTTTTCTCTTCCCCCCCCCCTTCCAGTGAGGTTGCTTGTGCAACTTGGCTGGGTGTTTTGTTATATATGAATTGTTTTGTTTGGTGTAAAAAGTTTGTTGTGTACGTATTGTGTTCTACGTAATGTATGTACGTAGTGGTTTTACGTAGTGTTTTGTTTGGTGTGGACTTTTGGATGTCGAGAATGGATGAAGGGAGGTTTCTGTGTGTCAGGGCCTGGACCATCCTAGACATCATAAGTCGGCGCAACACCAGCAAATGGTCAACCGTAATGTTTTGTTTGATGTAAAAAGTTTGTTTCGTTGGTTCTGTT